TTCACGCAGAATGGTAGGGCATATTGCTCTGATTACTTTTGTAATAAATAGACCATTTTTTTGAGAATGATGTTATTCTTTGGAAGCAAAGAAGAAAAACTTATTCAAAACCTCCCCCCTCCCCCAAAAAAAAAGAAAAGAAGAAAAACTCAATTCTCATTTATAAATATAAAATTTTATTAAAACTAATAGACAATTCTATTGCAGTGCAATGCAATGCAGCTTATGTTACTTTTGTATTAGCTCAAAATCTCCAGGTTATTCTCATTTTTCCTTTCTGCTAATAACTCCTCAAATATGATGGTTTTATCTGTTTTGCAACTTGTTGAGAAACAAGCATATTTGATGGTTTTGCCTTTGTTGACTTGTATATCCGGTGTCAACAATTCATTGTATTTGTTTGTTTATCTAGAAGCTAATTTGACTGATTGGGATTGCTTTCCTTTGCGAGTTATTAGCCTTTTGGTTTTTATATTTGAATATATGTTGAATTAATCATTGAAATAAAATTCTTATGAAGTAATAAACCTTAGAATTATTATTTTTAATTAGTTTTTTGGTGAAAGTTTAATGCCCTAAACCTCTCTATTATAAATTTATAGATTTTATTTATAGAAGTCAATGTTTAGGTGAGAAGCAATAAGGCTTTATGATGCTGGACAACCGGCGAGAATAGAACAACTAAAAGAAAATAAAAGAAAGGCCATACAAAATAAAAGAAGGAAAAAGATTGAGATCTACAATTTACCCACAATGATTGGCAAGTTATGTGTCAATTTTTCAATGAATAAATAAGTCCCAAATTATGCTATGAAATTCGTCCGTGGGATATTGACCAAGTATGTCCATTTTGATTTTAGTGAAACAGGAAAATGGATATGTATATGTTTCTCTATTTGAGTACTCTGTTGCTTTTTTGTTTTTCTTTCTTTTCAATTGAACACTTCAGTAGTTGAGGGTGTTAGATTATTTCACAATATGTAAAGCGGGAATGATTTGGGACACTATTTTCATGAGGGCAATGCACGATCTCAAGGCTGTTGAGATAGTGCTATTTTGGAAATGGTATGGCTACAGAGGTTGAGCCTGATGAGGTGAGGTACAATGTTTTAGAAATTGAACAAATTTGATGTCATGTTACAAAGTTTTGATGCTTAGTTAGGAGATATCTTTCCCTTGAATGGTTTTCTGAGGCACTAATCTCCAATGAAGGAGGCTTTTTTGGCATGATTCGTGGCACATGGCAAGAGCTTAAGAATGGATTATTTGATAAGAATAGGAAATATATTTCCCCAACTTCTGTTGTATGATCAAAGAGGCATGGAGTCAGTGGATTATCTTCTCATCCACTGTAGGGTGGCTAGGATGGTATGGTTTTTGTTATGAGATTGATTGTCTTTCCTTGGGTTTGCTGAAATACTGTTTTAGACTTCCTCAAATACTCTGGGAAATATTGGATCACGTTTGCCTTGTTTATGTTGGTATGCAAATAAAATAAATTAGGTGAAGATAAAGAACTGATATGTAGATTAAGAAGAGTTTTTTATTTTTATTTTAAATTATTATTCTTTTACATGGTTGGGTTACGGAGAGCTTTCTCGATTTTGTAATAGCAAGGATACATTGGTATGGATTTTTATTGTTTTTATTTTCTATATGTTGTGTATACTTGGGACAACATCTCCTTTTGGTGCCTTCAATAATGAAATGGCTTGTAAAATAAAGAAAAAATGTTCTTGTCAGATCATAGGTCTATATCCAACCAAGTCTGACTTGCAACCTTAATTTTTAATTAAGGACTTTATTGTAATAGTGAGTTTAATTCTCTTTGTTGCATTTTGTTTAATGGATCATGTGTAATATTTAGGTGAACTTGTGTTGGTATACTAAGTTTTTGCCAAGAAATTGATTGCTTTTCTTGTTAGGATATTGGGGTATGTATCTCATTGGTTTCCAATTGGGCAGCTATCTGTTTTTTGGTAACTCTGACCAAGTGTTGAGATCCAATAAATGAGCAATGATTCTATCTCTTTTGTTTTGGTATATATCTTTATCATTGGAGTCTTTGTCATCTCATTATCTTTTGCTGTCATGTTAATTGATCTTTATTTTTATTTTTTCTAAATGAGACATGTTATTAACTATGCTTCTGGACAGGGATGTGGAAAGAGTTTCACGCAGAATGGTAGGGCATATTGCTCTGTTTACTTTTGTAATAAATGGACCATTTTTTTGAGAACGATGTTATTCTTTGGAAGCAAAGAAGAAAAACTTATTCAAAACCTCCCCCCTCCCCAAAAAAAAAAAAGAAAAGAAGAAAAACTCAATTCTCATTTATAAATATAAAATTTTATTAAAACTAATAGACAATTCTATTGCAGTGCAATGCAATGCAGCTTATGTTACTTTTGTATTAGCTCAAAATCTCCAGGTTATTCTCATTTTTTCTTTCTGCTAATAACTTCTCAAATATGATGGTTTTATCTGTTCTGCAACTTGTTGAGAAACAAGCATATTTGATGGTTTTGCCTTTGTTGACTTGTATATCCGGTGTCAATGATTCATTGTGTTTGTTTGTTTATCTAGAAGCTAATTTGACTGATTGGGATTGCTTTCCTTTGCGAGTTATTAGCCTTTTGGTTTTTATATTTGAATATATGTTGAATTAATCAATGAAATAAAATTCTTATGAAGTAATAAACCTTAGAATTATTATTTTTAATTAGTTTTTTGGTGAAAGTTTAATGCCCTAAACCTCTCTATTATAAATTTATAGATTTTATTTATAGAAGTCAATGTTTAGATGAAAAGTAATAAGGCTTTATGATGCTGGACAACCGGCGAGAATAGAACAACTAAAAGAAAATAAAAGAAAGGCCATACAAAATAAAAGAAGGAAAAAGATTGAGATCTACAATTTACCCACAATGATTGGCAAGTTATGTGTCAATTTTTCAATGAATAAATAAGTCCCAAATTATGCTATGAAATTCGTCCGTGGGATATTAACCAAGTATGTCCATTTTGATTTTCTATACTTTGAGTTCTAGCTATTAAAATATCTTTTCATTTTCCAAGTCTGTTACATGTAAGTTGAAATGCCGACCGTTTGCTCGCTTATGGTGGGATGAATTTGTATCAACAGTAGGGACAAGAGCAGAACCTCACAAACGGGTTTTAACACTTACTCTCTTTCTCGAGCATTGTATAATTAATCTCTTGATCAAAACATCGACCAACTTGAGATTTAAATTATTTTGTTTTCATAGGCTATGCTTCATCCGGAGCAAGACCGAGTGTTGACAGTCCGTGAAAACGCAAGGTTACAAGGGTTCCCTGACTGGTACAAATTTTGGGGGCCTGTTAAGGAAAGGTATCAATAGCAAGTCTTTTTTACTTTTTGCAAGTTTAATTGATTCAAACACAAGAATTGCTTTGGTAATAATTCTATTTAAATTTGGTTGGGTTTATACTCAACTCTTAAGTGCTTTTGTGTACTGAAGGCTAAGAGGGTAATAAAGTTCGAGTGCTGTTAATAGTTCTCGCCATTTTTCTTTGGGCTCCACCTTAATTTTTTGAATGTTATTTTTTTGAACACACACTTTAATTCTAATTCTACTCTTTCCTAATAATTATCAATATTAAGAGATGAGGGTCCAAAAGAAAAAAGGTCTGAGGCAAATAGAAGCACTCTAAATTGTTTCCTTGGTGTCTAATATTTGTCTATTTCCATCTAATTTGTAGGTATATACAAGTAGGGAATGCTGTTGCATTTCCAGTATCCATGGCATTCGGAAGTATGTTGGCAAAGGGAAGCCAAGGAGTCTCAAATAATGAACCCTTGACAACAACTGATCTGAAATTCCCTCTGAGTCTTGCACAATTGTCTGCGTGAATAGCATTGGATTAATTATCCATTCTTAAAGTGAGTTCAATCTTGGCAAAATTCATTCTTAACAATCTTGTTGAAGAAAATTTTAAACTCACATTGAGTAGTAGACCATTCATAAAAACCATATATGGTCATTTTAGCTTGTAATTCAAATTTCCATTTTCTTCTTGTATTATCTTGAAAAATATCTGGTTAAGTACATTGAAAGATATGTAACCTTAAGTTAACTTCTTTTCAATAGAGTCCAGCTTCCTAACATCAATTTTCTATCAAAACTAATGATTTATAGTGCTTTTTTTTTTTTTTTTTGGAGCAAGGCTACGCGGTGCTCAAAGGATAATGATTATTATGAATCGGTGTCTTTTCCCTGAGCAAATGAGGGATTATAGAACAATAAAAAATATATGAAGCCAAACTTATTTTTAGCTTTTTCTTTTGGGCCTAGACCCATTTCTGTTTGCAGAGTACTGGTGGACCGGGCACTGGAAGTGATATTGGGCTGTTTGCGAGGTTCTGCTGTGGGCCCTTTCTCGATTCATATTTCCTCACATGACCAATCATGCTGATTGATGATTATGGCCCAACCCAAAATACTATGGTGGACCTCGGCTTGTCCATGGCAATTTGTTCCCTCTAATGCTGTCAAATGGATTGTTTCGTTCTGGGTCACTTCATCCACAATCTTGAGTGAGTGCTTTTATTTATATGCATAGTTAAACAAGTACGCTGACTAAAGTTATGTATATTGATTGATCCATCAATGTCTAATTGTGTTCTTGCTGGGAAATTAGGATCTAGTGAGTGTTTATACTTTTATGCATAGTTGAACAAGTAAGGTGACCGACGGAACTTGTTTTGATTGATCTATCATTGCCTAGTTATGTTCTTGACTTCTTGCTGGGGGATTAGGATACTTTTCAATATGCTTTCATGTGAATTATGTGGTGATATCGTGGCGTTGTGTATATAAAGCATTTTGGCATTTGCACTCTAATAATGCCATTATCTATACATTACTTTGTTGATTGAGTTCTCTTTGTATGGCCTTGGACTGTCAAAATTTTCCCCGTCTATCATGTTATGTATAGAAAAATTCACAGATATTTTAATGCGACATATTATAAAAAAATGTTTCATATGTGGTGCACCCACTTAATTGTGTTTGTATTATGAAGCTACAATTTTCAAATTTAGTGTTGAGGTTTGAAAGTTCTGATTTCACATATGATTTTGTCATTAGAAAGCATCTTTAGGTTGGAAGAGAAAATTTAGCTCTTGTTAAAATAATTGGAGTGGGCTTTACCAATAATTAGTTAAATGAATGTAGTAAATTTAAGAGAATACCCCCAAACATGCTAGATAAAAGAATATTAAGAACAAACGATGTTAAAAGGCCCCAAACATGCTAGGTAAAATTGTAAAACACAAGACTTAAAAGGCTCGTTCAGGGGTCAAAATTGTGAAATGACCACCGAAACCACTGAAGCATGGCACAGACAGCTTGTTCAAGCCTAAATAGACTTGTAGGAACAAACAGGACCTCAATTGGATATCCGGTTAAAAAATTAGAAGGAAAATTGTAAAACACAAGACTTAAAAGGCCCGTTCGGGGGCCGAAATTTCAAAATGACCACCGAAACCACCGAAAACTTGGCGTGGACAGCTTTTTCAAGCCTAAATAGACTTGTAGGAACAAACAAGACCTCGATTGGATTTCTGGTTAAAAAATTAGAAGGAAAAATGTAAAACAAAAGACTTAAAAGGCCCGTTCGGGGGCCAAAATTTCGAAATGACCACTGAAACCACCAAAACTTGGCACAGACAGCCTTTTCAAGCCTAAATAGACTTGTAGGAACAAACGGGACCTCTATTGGATCTCCGGTTAGAAAATTAGAAGGAAAATTGTAAAACACAAGACTTAAAAGGTCCGTTCGGGGGCCGAAATTGCGAAATGACCACCAAAACCACCAAAACTTGGCACAGATAGCTTGTTCAAACTTAAATAGCCTTGTAGGAACAACCAGGACATCAATTTGATTTCCGGTTAGAAAATTACAAGAAAAAATGTAAAACACAAGACTTAAAAGGCTCGTTCGGGGGCCGAAAGTGCGAAATGGCCACCAAAACCACCGAAACTTGGCACGGACAGCTTGTTCATGCCTAAATAGACTTGTAGGAACAAATGGGACCTCGATTGGATCTCCAGTTAGAAAATTAGAAAGAAAATTGTAAAACACAAAATTTAAAGGCCCGTTCGGGGGCCGAAATTTCGAAATGACCACTGAAACCACCGAAACTTAGCATGGATAGCTTGTTCAAGCCTAAATAGACTTGTAGGAACAAACGGGACCTCGATTGGATTTCTGGTTAAAAAATTAGAAGGAAAAATGTAAAACACAAGACTTAAAAGGCCCGTTTGGGAGCCGAAATTTCGAAATGACTGCTGAAACCACCGAAACTTGGCACAGACAGCCTTTTCAAGCCTAAATAGACTTGTAGGAACAAACGGGGCCTCTATTGGATCTCCGGTTAGAAAATTAGAAGGAAAATTGTAAAGCACAAGACTTAAAAGGCCCGTTCGGGGGCTGAAATTGCGAAATGACCACCGAAACCACCAAAACTTAGCATGGACAGCTTGTTCATACCTAAATAGACTTGTAGGAACAAACGGGACCTCGATTGGACTTCCGGTTAGAAAATTACAAGAAAAAATGTAAAACACAAGACTTAAAAGGCCCGTTCAAGGGCCGAAATTGCAAAATGGCTATTGAAACTACCGAAACTTGGCATGGACAACTTGTTCAAGCCTAAATAGACTTGTATGAGCAAACAACACCCGATTGGACTTCCCGTTACAAAATAAAAATCAAAATTGTGAAATTCATATCGAGGTTTTTTTTTTTTTGGGTCAATCTAATATTGTTTTTTCTTTTTTCATGTGACAGATTGGCAATGGTGGCAAACAGTTCGGGCTACATCAGAAGATTTGATTTTGTGTTTTTGAAAATATTTTGACATAGGATTTTGGTAAATGATTTACGGATTAAATGTTTAGCATCAAAATATTTGGTTTTGTATTTTTGAAAATATTTTGACATAGGATTTGGTAATGTATTTATGGGTTTGATGTTAGTAGTTTGTAAGTACTTTGGTATGCATATTTTAGATTGTCAGAAAATTGTAATTATGTTTATTGGGATTTTTCATAGCTATTAATTTTGAATTAGCATGAATGTCTTGCACAAGTGTATTATTATTTACATTACATTTGTGTATATATTGTGCACAGAAAAACAGGTGTTTTGAATTATTTTGAACAGGAAAATTATTAAAATCAAATTTGTGCACTGAATTTTTAGTGACAGGTGGTATTTTGGTCACTGTTAATATATTTGGCGACAACATATTGTTTTTGTCGCTAAAAGTTAGTGGTTATTCCAAGAACTTTTAGCAACCAAAACTTACTCAACAACCAAATTAATTTTGTCGTTAAATAGTACTTTTGGCAACGCATTTATTTGTCGCTAAAACTACATAGCCTATCCAAATTTTAACCTTTTAGCGACAAATTGTAATTTTATAGCGACAAAATATATGATTTTTGGTGACCAATTTTGCTTGTCGCTAAATGTCTACATGCGGTGACAATTTCTGATTTTGTCGCCAATACTTTTAGTGACAAGGCTTTGGCGACAAATTGTATATTTGTCGACGATTCTTTTGGCGACGAAATTTGTACTTTTGGCGACCAATTTTTGGGTCGCCAAATGTGTTTTTTGTTGTAGTGAAATTTTTTAGAACTAAATGGATCACCATTCCACAAGATGAGATTTATGAATAAATTTTCCTAAGAAATTGGGTTAAAATTTAAAATTTAAAATTAGATTAAGTTAATTTTATGATAATAAATTATAGTGTTTACATAATTATGTATATACACTGTGTGGTGAGAAGGGGTGAGTTTGGGTTAGGACTTTAAGGTAGGTAAAAAATAAAAAAGGTAAAACAAGGCTAATTTTATTTTATTACATTAAAATTTAATTTTGACTAATTTATTTTCCTTCCTCACTATCAAAATAAGCATGTAAGATATACTTTTCATTAGTTTAGATAGAAAATGTAACTATAACATTTTAGTCTAAAATCACATAAGAGGGATGTGACTATTATTTAAGGGTCTTGTTAGCATCTGCCCTAAAGACACATGTTAAGAAAATAATAAATGAATTTCAACTTCCTACACTTACATGGAAAATGTAAGGGTCTAATAAAAAATAATTATGATATCTTTGAGGAGTTAATTTTTTATGGATATAGACATAACTGCCCTTTGTTTATTAGAATTTGTATTTAAAATTTATTTTTAAAAATTCATAAATTTCCTTGACAAAACTAAATATATATATTTCAATTTTTAAATATTATTTTATGTTCCAAAAAAATCATATGAAAATAAGTGTTTGATTTTTAAAATTTTATTTTTCACCGAACTAAATTATAATTTTTTTAGAAAAACATATTAAAAAATTCAATAAAAAATAAAGGAGGAGAATAGTGCAAAGCAAAAAGGGTACTTTAGTCTCATTATAAATATAAAAAATCTTTAATAAAGCTAATTTTTAATGTTATGTTGTTTTCTATACCAATAAGAGTAAATGTAATTATTTAATGCTTTCTTAATATACGCCTTTAGAGCACATATTAACAGAAGTCATTATGAAAAGGGATATGGGGTCAATGTTGTGCTCTTCATGGGGCTCATTTTGAGTCTTATTTTGATTATTTGAACCGTTTATTTTAAAATATATATATATATATATATATCAATTAGCATATACATGTAAAAAATCAAGTTGATCGGATATTAATAACACCTTTATTAAATCATATTTATTTTCAGTCTTACACTTACAATCATATTTACAATTCATTTTTTTATGTGCAAATATGATTTAATGAAAGCGTTATTGATGTCCAATTAATTTAATTTTTTACAAGTATATTCTACTCGATATTTTTTTAAAAAATTAATAATTCAAATTATCAAAACAGAACCTAAAACGGGCCCTATAAAGCACACAACAATTACTATTGTGCCCAACCCAACAATAAGACATATCACAAGAAAATAAAATAAATTTTACCCAAAAATTTAAAAGTAACTCAAATACAAATATTTGGGCTTCGCCATCTGCGAGTGGCCAACAAATAACAAACACAATTCAAGTCGATTTCAAGAGGCACTCACAATTTGACCAATGCCATGACATGGAAGTAAATCTATGCCTCCGTTTGGGAAGTGGATTGATTTTTTAACTTTTTAGTTTTTTGGTTATTTTAGCTTGGGTTGTTTTAGTCTGGTTTGGAAAGAACTTTTTGACTTTTTAAACTTTTTTTGTGAGAGGAAATTGTAATGATTGTAGATTAGATTTGATGTTTTATTTTTTATGACTAAAATAGCTTATTTTATTTTTTGTGACTATTTTAACTAAAAAAACCTGACTTTTTTGTTTCCAAACGGAGCCATATACAATAAATTTAAAAAATATCTTAAATTTGTATTTCATTGTGTGTGTGTGTTTATAACATGATTGATATGACATGGTTGTCGGTACATTTGTGGGATCAAC